TTTTTTGCAACCCATTATTTAAACATGAAACTAATTCTTTTTTCTTTTTCATGAATGCGTATTCCTTTATTTAATTTGTAACGGCTTCAGTTGATATTAAATTACTATTTTTTTTTGCAAACTTTCTCTTCAATCCAGTGAATATTTACAAAAGAATTGTTGGTCAAATTACTATTTTTAAGTACAGTTCATAATCTTCACATTGAGATTTTTAAATGAAAAAAAAAAAAACATTGGTTGACGGCTACGCTATCATCTTAATTCATTATTGTTTATGTTGAGGATTTCTTCTACATGCATTTGTTTGAATTTTATCATAATATATTTCACATTGGTAGAAGTTTGGTTTTAATTTGTAGAATTTATGACACGTGTGCAAATGGATCTCATTGATATGAGAAGTCGACCAGATCATGTCGATTCAGGCAAAATTTTCAAATGGATTATTCAACTTAAAGATCATTTTACTAAATTTTGTTGGGCTCAACCATTAGAAACGAAAGAAGCGAAAGAGGTTTATTCTACTGTACGTAACATCTTCTTCAATTTCGGACCGCCTCGTATCTTACAATCCGATAACGGGCGTGAGTTTGTGAACGATTTGATGAATAGTCTTCAAAATGACTTTCATGGTAATGATTTGATATACGTGATGAATTTTGCATTCTGAATAATCAATACTGATTTTTGTTTGCTATACAGGAGAAGATTTTTTGCTTATTCTTATGAAGTTATTTTATGTCACAGATTCGCATAATAACATATTTAAATTAAATTTCTTTAATCATGTATGCACATTGTACATGGAAGACCACGGCATCCACAGTCTCAAGGGCTGATAGAGCGTGCAAACGCAATTCTAACTGATGCTCTTGGTAAATAATTCTTTTTATTTTAAATTAAATGCCAGATGTTTATCAAATTGGAATCAAGCTTTTGTATGTGGGTGCTGTTTATTGATAGCAAATATCACGACTATTAAAGATAAATGAGTAGTTTGTATAGAGAAAAAAAATAATTTGAAAAATATTTTATATTAAGCTAAAATTTTTCATGCAATAAGAAAGTTTATTTTAGGGTGTGGGTGTGGGTGTGGGTGTGGGTGTGGGTGTGGGTGTGGGTGGTGTGGCTGTGGCTGTGGCTGTGGCTGTGGCTGTGGATGTGGATGTGGGTGTTGGTGTGGGTGTGGATAGGTCAAGTGAAGACTCAAACTCACACCCACATCCACACCCACACCCTCTTATTAAAAAGGCTGAAGGTAAATCAGAATCTCAAGATGAAAATCCTTTACTGTAGTGGAAAAAACACAGCAAACATTTACCAAAATTATCTATTTTAACACGACAAATATTTTCTATACCAGCAACGTCGGCATCAGTATAAAGGCAATTTAGTAGTGCCGTGGTTATTTTCAACGATTGACGAACATGTTTATCGGATGAAAATTTAGAAAATATCATCTTGATTCGATCTATCGAAAATCAAGATAAAAATACTATTGGTATGTTAGATTAGCATATATCTCGTATAGGTTCTTGTTAATACGTTTCTTTTTTTTTTAATTTCTTCTCAAATTTTGCTTTTGAAATATTATTTTTGTACGAAAGTGTGTGTAAAAATATAACATCATGTATACTTTGTTTTTTCACCATAGACAAACTTCTTTGTCTATTTCTTTCGCTGGTGATGTTCTTTTGTATATAAACTTAATAGTGTAAATGTAAAAACGAGTGCAGCTAATCTAACTTCTATTGTTTTTTATTCTCTTCTACCATTATTTTGTATTATAATTTCTTCAATCATGTTAACCACGGTGAAGATTATCTTTTTATCCACATGAAAATAAAAATAATATTTATTATTATATATCCTATAAAATGATATTTCATTTTTATTAACAATTTATACAGGCGGATCTGAACTTGCATTTCTCTTAATAATACTTAATGAAAAATTCAAATATTATAAAACCCAGGGTTAACCCAATGGGTAGGGTTGAGCTGCTCAACCTAACCCTGTAACCCATGGGTTAATAAAAAAAAATAGTTGAACTGATTTCCACCCAATCAACTACCGGCGATGGGTTGGGTTACCCAAGGGTTAAAAAAACAAAAAACGGCAACTCTGATCCACACCCTCCATGAAGAAAGTTGTTTTAAAGTTATCTTATTTTTTTCTTTTAAGTGAGAACAGAAGAAAGGGCTATGAGATTAGTTAGTCACTAAGATAGTTTGAGTAATAGAGATAGACTAAGCAAAGGATAGAAGTGTCATGAGAGAAGATAGGATGGATGATGGATACCACATGAGACACTTACGAGTATAGATCCCTTCAAGAAGGACTTCCAAGTAGTCCCTAAAAGCTCGACCAGGAATTGTCTTCGTGTCCGTGGCAGCACGATGGGGCTCTGGGCTCACTGACACATGTCACTAGATGGATGCACGTGAATGATGTGAATTTTTCAGGACGTGTACGAGAATCAAAATAGCTTTTAATGCATTTTTCGTACAATTGCGAATTGATAGAGAAAAGAAAAAGAACAAAACAGAAATAATCATCTGAATTGAGTTTGTTCGATATTAAATTTTTGTACTCGATGATTTCCGTTTTCGACGACATAAAGGTTGCCATATCGATCGAATGATAAACCTACGGGTTCATTCAGTTGATTCGACTGTGCTCCTTCACCGTTTCCACCAATAATGACACTTCCTTGTGTGGCTCCTTTTGGCCAACGCATGATTCGATGATTCACATCATCAGCCACATAGACAGTACCCAATTGATCGACCACGACTCCTTTAGGATATGCTAATTGTGTAAGACTATTTCCTTCTCCTTGACCACCGGCTACGACAATGCCTTGTTTTGCACCTTTTTCCCATTTCATTACACGATGATTTCCATATTCGGATACATAAAGTGAATGATCTTGATCAACAAATACATAGAAGGGATGAGAGAGTTGATCGAGACGACATCCTTGTCCATTGCCGCCTGCAACTACAGTTCCCCGAGTGTTACCAATTTTATATCGTCGAACTACATGTTTATCATAGTCAACAACATGGAGAAAACCATTGTCATCCATTGTCAAACCAATGCAAGAGATATTCGAAATGATTGTTTCTCCACGAGTATCGTTTCGACGAAGCCATCGGACTACTCTTTTATTACTGTGATCAGAGATGATGAGACTATCGCTCTCTTTATCGATAATCACATCTTGTGGGTAATTTAATTGATGAGCTTCATTCTCTTGTTCATTTCCACCAGCAATTACTGTGCCATTCGTTGCACCAGACTTCCATTCCAGAATACGATGATTATATGTATCGGCGACATATACCGTTTGGTTATCATCGACGTACAAACCCCATGGATGATTGAATTGATTAGTTTCACTACCCTGTCCATTTCCTCCAGCAATAGTGATACCATTTGTTGACCATCTTGCATTCGGACTAATATGAACCATACTTGCACGTAATGGCACTGAAATAAAATAAAAGTATAAATTAGAAATAAAAATTGATTTGATTATATATGAGTCCTTCATTTTAGTGGCAATTCATGAGACATCTAATGTTTTCGATTTATTTTCTGATCGAATATGTCATTTTTTGAGAGATATACTTCCTGTATGTGTTTTCTATGAACATGTGTAGAAAGACGTTGCTAACTACTAGTATTCTAACGGTTTTATTCAAATCTTTTCAAAGAATGACTTTTTTTTCGTATTCTTAAACAAATGAGTCGATAAATTGCGCCTCAATGGTTTGGATATTTTACTGGTAATAACTAGAAATATAATCTTGATCCAGTTTTGTAGCTCTGTTTTTTGGCGGTACTAGCACACGAGTGAAAATCAATAAATTAATAGCAGAACGATGAGTGGAATGCTGTTTTTCTTTAACCGTTTGAAGACCGTGGGACATACGCTGTCCTACTTGTTTTTCGATAGAGAAAAAATGTTTAGTTTACACTTATTTCTTGCATATAGTTTCGTTTAAAATATTCTTCATTCTCGCTGATAGAGTATAATGATGTCATGACCTATCTCTTCTTTAATTGTTTTCTAGAATATTCTCAGTTTCTATAAAGTTGGTATATGTATTCCCATTCTTACTGGCGAATTTACATTATTCTTGAATTTAAAAAGCATACCATTTCTCTGTTGTACCTACACTAGGGTGTAGGTGTGGGGTATGGTTGAAGATATCCGTACATTCTTACCCACACTCTTCTGTCAGATTTCGTCAGAAAATATAAAATGGAACTAAGAGATTACAAATCAATGATTACATTGAACAGTATTGTCTTCATAGGGACGGATACTAAATATGTTTTTTTTTGGCTTCAAATTGTAATAAAGACAATGAAGTTGCTTCGGTTTCCGTCCGTTGAAAAATTGTCAACGAGCTACAATCAGCTGTCCACAAGCAATACAAGGTTATACTTAGTTTGTGCATGAAGTTGACCTACTCAACCGAAGAATATCGTGCTATAGTCGTCTTGATCGAAAGTCTAAAAGAAACTGACTTCATCTTTTCATTTACTTTCTAAATGTATCTATTTCCAACTCATTTATTTGCTATAATCAGTTACCTTAGGATAAACTAACATACCTAAACTACATGGTTTCTGTGGCTCAGCCTTTCTATTCTGGTAGTGAACGAATAAGTTTTGACCTATCTCCTTGTAAATATAAGTGTAAAATAGCATTACCAAAAGGAGTCCTTAATTTTGACAACGAAATGCAGCATTTGTCTATGAAAAAAACAAGTATAAAATGTGCTTTTTGTAGCACAAAGGAAGCAGAAGTTCGATCCAACGTCGAGTGCTTGCAAATTAGTATTTTCTTAACGAGATGAAAAATATTGTTTTCTTTTGATTATCATAAGATTTTTATCTAGATTTTTTGAGTTTAGATGGAATAAAAAGATTCAAAACATCTTTTTTTTAATCAGAAGAAAAAAAAATCGATCCTTAAAGGGTTAAACTTTATGTAAAACTATTATAACAGTAGTTAGAAAAAATCTTTCCATATACAACTCGATGCGCCTTTATCTGCTCTTTTCAATGATAAACGTCACAAGTCTCTATCTCATCCCTAAGAAAAATTATTCCAAAAATACTGACAGCTAGTTACTAATCTCTGACATGAACGTTAGCGATGTCGAGCACATGGAAAAAAGACATTATTCAGTTATTCTTACATTAGTGACAGTACCAGTTTTCTTTTCTTCTACGAACAAATAAGCAAGTTATCATATAGAATTTGAGCGTGAACAAAAATGATCGAATTATTAAAAAGACATGTTTCGAAAATTGTTCAAAAGGATACTGAAAATTTCTGCAAATTTAATATTGACTTCTTCGAAAGGGAAAAGTTCAAATTCTTGCTTTAATTGTAACATTTTTGAATTATTTTTATACGGTATATGCAAAATCATATAAGTTTTGTTATATGCAAACAAACTAGATAGAAATTTTTGCAAGATAAAAGATTATTAGAAAAACTTCATTAAAATTTTTTTTGCTGTGTTATCTTTAGAGTTTTATTGAACAATAAAAAAAGAATTAGATTTTTATCATTTTCTATTGAAATACAATAGTTTTGTAACATTTATTATATTTAAAGAGCTGCTACTGGAGAGAGATTAATAAAGAATAAGTATTATAATTTAAATATTTTTCTTCCCTTTGAGTGTTTCTTTTTATGATTTCGAGGATTGAAACGACCCACAATTTATTCCAATTTTACATCAATAGAAAATGAGATGTAAATAATTTTTTAAAGATACTTCAATTCAATGTTTAAAAAAATGATGAAAACTTATAACTTGAGAATTTTTGATATCTTAGAGATGTTGTATGAAGAATTTAAAATTCGTTTCTCATGTTTTTTTGTTTCATAAGATAACTTTAAAAATGATTGAAACAACTGAGCGTGAAAAGTTCTTATCTTCTGCGTGTTGTTTTTTTGATTCAGAGACAAAACTATTTACAATCTAAAATATCAGATAAGTTTTCTCTTAGAATGATCAAAATAGATAGACTAATTGTCTTTTTTTTTATCTAATACGATTCGATTTTAAACACCTATTGTGTGTTTACAATCATGGTTACACTACTATTTTCTAGAATTATGGATAGTAATTTAATGTTTTTTCTATCGAATCTTTTCAATTTTGATTTTTGGACTTTTTTAAAACATTTCAACATCACTGAAAATTTTAATTTCTAAAGTTTAAATCTTTCTTCTTTCTCCATTCGAAAGATAATGTAAATATTTTCAAAAAATAAAATTAACTATAATTTTAAAAAATTGAAATAATTTTTATACGACATATATACATTTTGGTGAAAAACCAAAAATACAAATAATTCGGAGAAAAAGAAAGTCTCTGTAAGTAAGAATGATAAGTAAGAGAAATAAATTAATAAAAACAATATGTTGATATATACTTTTGAAGGAAAGAAAATAAAATCATGTCATATTTCGGATATATTTTTCTTTCTATGAAAAATGAAAAACGATCTAGAAATTTATTATAGAAAAATAAAAGTTTTTCGTTTGATCCCAAAATTGTTTTCGCTTCTTAGTATTTCATGAAGAATGAATTCGTTTTGACAGTTTACTTTGATAGAGTAATAAAAGAAAGATAAAAGTTTAACTTTTAAATTTTTTTTGTATATGGAAATCAAAATGTCGACTTCAATTTCCATAAAGTTCTTGTGGATGAGTTTTTACTTGAATAACTGTTACAATTGTTTCAGATGTTTTTATTTTTTGATAGAATAATTTTGAAAATCTAGAGAAAATTGAACATCAGAATTTTGTATATTGATCTAAGAAGATTCGATTAGTAATAAAGTTGATGTTCACATTCTTTCACAATGCATTGGCACTAATTTAAAACGCTATCGAAAAGAAATTCAAGATTATATAATGAATCATACCTGAGATATACGTATGCAAAATAGATCATATTGCAAATATCACGGTACATCACATAGATATAATGTATTCAACAGAACAACTTCTAAATGTTTTGAGATTATTTAGTGTTACAAAAAAAGTACTGAAGATCATTATACTAAGTACATACTGTTCGGATGTATAATTTTTTAATAACTTTTAATCGAAAAAGAAATTTACTCTTTCATAAAGTTCATAAAAAAAAACCAGGTAGACTATTAATTATAAGTTGTTTCAAAAAATTATCTATTATAATGAAATATCCTATTGTTTACATGGCAGAAAAATATATATTTACTATTTATACTACTAAAATGTGACTCATCTACTTATCTTAATAATCTTACATGTCAAGTTTTTCAACAGTAACTAATAAAATGTAAATGTACTAAAAAGAAATTCACATGTATTCAACAAATCCAATAAACAACTACTTGAGATACGTAGATTAGGTTCCATTTTTAGATTCTTTTTTTCTAAAATCTTAAAAACTAAATAATTTGTACGAATGAGTTTATTTCAAAAAGACAAACTTGTTAACATTAATCTTGAAAAATTTGCTATGTAACTATATAAAACAACCATTCGAAAAATCTAAGCAAGGCTCCTGACTTCAGATTCAAACAACAAAGAATTTGAGAAACAGAGTTTGAAGCATAGAGTACTGCAACCCGACCCGTGAGTGCGGGCGAGTTCGGGTTTAACTTTGTCGGGTCAGGTGGGGCGCGGGTCTGATTCCAAAAAATGTCGGGTTTTATTGGGTTCTACTTTTGTTTCGTAATATATGTTTCCGTTCTATATTTTCGTTAGTGTTAAATTCAAAGAATAATGGAACTCTATTCTATCGATCAATGGTTCAAATAGTTGTTACATACATACGCCCTTCTTTTGGTCTTCTCTATATAGTACGCGCCTTCAGATGAAAAAACCAGTCAAATAAGCGATGCAATAGCAACTGACCGATGATTTGTCGTTGTATTTTTTGATGGGCTAGACATAACTTGGATTCTAGTGAAAAGAGAAAATCGATCTCTATTGAGCTATGTTTTAGGTTTTTTTAAAGAGACATATACTGTTACAAAGACGAGATTTTAACGCCTTCTTTATGATATATTTTTGTTTCTTGAGTTAAGGATCCCCTTAGAAAATCCAATTTTTCAAAAAAATATCGAAGTTCAGTTTTTATCATAGAAAGATGCAGCAAAGGTTTCTCCTTCAGAATATCTATGGCTTTTTGAAAAATGATCAGATTTTCAAAGATTTATCACATGAAACTTTGATTCTACCACCATACAGGATTGGAAATAACATTTTACCAGAGAAGTGTCGTTATAACTTCAAATAGAAGACATAATGAATTTTATAGCAAATGAAATCTCGTCAAAAATGGGTTTATTGATACTAAATAGTAAGGATTATGGAAACTTTTTATTATCGAACTTAAAAAACTTTCAGAAATTTTATACTTTTTTTGCGGTGGAAAAGTAAAGTGC